ATTGACCCCCTCCTCAGATCCTGCACGGCTTCAAGGACCAGGTGGGTGAGGACAACTGGCACCAATTCTCAGAGCAGTTCCCTCCGCTGCTCAAGGATCGCCTGGCGGCGTTCTATGGGGTGTAAGGCGGACGCAGGCACCGGGACCAGGTGGGGGCATGGAGGAGTTCCCCCCCCCCAACAAAAGAAACCTCCATCTTCCCCCCATGACCACCCCATGAACCCCAAAAACCCCTGCCTCCCCCTTTCCTCACCGCTCCCCGGGTCCTTTTGGGTACGGATGGAGGCTCTGCACCTAAAAAATCCCCCCACCCCCCAAAATCCTACCGACTCCTGAGGCTGCCCAGTCCCTGAATGACCCCAGCAATTCCTGAGACCCCCCTCCCGCCTTTTCTTCGCAGGTCAGCGGCGCTGTCAGGACGGCAGTCGGAGCAGATGGCCCCCGGGGGGAGGGGGGGGGTCGGGAGGAGCTCCCCCGGGCCCAGCCCCAGCCACTGCGGGGGGGCCCCAGATCTGTACCCCCCCTCCTCGGGGGGTGGGGGGAGGGGAGGCAGTGGGGGGGTGGGGGGTGGTCGGGGCCCCCCCCCGAGGTAGGTTTTGGGGTGGAAAACGCAAAAATTGGAGCAAAAAGGGGCCAACGCGGGGTGTCCCCCCCCTTCTTTTTTCCTCTCTACGCTGCCCCCCCCCTTCCAACGCATGGCGCCCCTCCCCCACGTAGGGACACGTAGAGACCCCCTGAGGTGGGGGGGCGGTGGTCGATGCCCCCTCCCCGCGTTTTTTGCCCGTTTTGTTCCGTTTTTTACCGTTTACAAAAAGGGGGGGGAGGGGGCGGGAGGGAGGAGGAGGATGGGAGGGGCGCTGGGGGGGGCGCTGGGAGGGGGGACCCGGGGAGGGGGCGGGCCCTGGTGTCGGGGGGAGGGGGTTCCCACCTTCCCCCTTATTTCCTTCTCGGCAATGAATTTCCTTCATCATCCGCGCGGCTCTGAGCTCTTCATTACGCGGCTGGGGGATGGGGGGAGGGTGGACGTGCAGTGCTGGGGGGGGCGGTGGCTTTGAGGGCATCGTTTCCTCAATGGCGCGGCAATAGGACGGCCGCACGTGGCCGACTTCCGGCGCTTTCTGATGACGCCTCGGGCCTGCTGTCTTGTTTCTTCCGTCGGCTTCAGGTGACGTCAGTGGGTGCCGCTTCCGGGTTCCGTTTTCGGGTGGCGTGCGTTGATGGCGTAGTCATTGCGGCGCCTTCTGATGACGTCAGTGGGCGGTAGCCCCGGAAGTGCATCTCCCTGTGGTCGTGGAGACGGGGACGCGGCGGGGCCGGGCCCGGTACCGGGACCTGGGGGTGGGTCGGAAACCGAACCGGGGGGAGGCGGGGGGTCGTGTGGGAACCGGGGGACGCGAGGGCGGCTTCGGGCTGCGGTAACGAATGTCGGGGCGCTGCGGTAACGGGGATCGAGGACCGGGCCCGGGGTTCGGCCCGTTTCTGGCCCGGTTCCGGTGACCCCGCGCTCCCCCGCAGCCATGGAGGAGCCCCCCGCCGCCGACCCCCGCGCTCAGGAGTTCGCCGATCGCCTGCGGGGCCCCGCGAGCTCCCCGGACCCCGAACCCGAACCCCCCCCGGCTCCGGATCCCCCCCCGGTGTCCGTTCCTCCGCCCCTGCCGGCCCCGAGACGACCGTCACCCACCGGCGGGGTTCCGGGCGGGGGGCTGCTGGCGCTGCCGCTGGAGCTGCTGCTGCGGATCTGCGGGTTCCTCGCGGCACGGGAGGTGCGGGCGGTGCTGCCCCGCGTCTGCCGGGCGCTGCGGGACGTGTCCCGCGATGCCGTGGCGTGGAGGGTCCGGTTGCGGCGGAGGGCGAGGGGGGTGCTGCCAGTGCTGGAAGGTGAGGGGGGTTATG